ACCAACCGCCCACTCTTCTGCTGTCACCCCCCCCCCCCCCCCCCCCCCCCCGACAAATGCTGGCACTAATGTAGTGCTAAGCTAGAGCGCAATACCAACATCGCACTCTGCTTCTCTTCCAACTCCCCACCCCCGATTTTTGCCACTTCCGTAGTGCTGCGCCTTCTAGATAGGAAGTGAGAACACGTCTGTCTGCCTCTTAAATAAATCATGAGTCATGCTGCAGAATGAGTGAACGAGCTGAAGCTGCTGTGCAACATGCTGCAAAATCTGCATTATTGTTGTCAAAACCAACCAAACCATCTTTAGATTGGAGTTTTCTAACAGATATGTGTTCAGCAATAACACTTTGTTTTATGATTTACAACTTGCATAGTTTCCTTTGAAACTGGCCATTTTTCTCTGCCGGCGGCTGTAGTGCCAGGAAATCCCTTCATATGTTTGACATCATTGTGAAGTTGGGGACCCAGATGACATCACTCCAGACCAATGACAACAAGTTTTCCAACTTGTAAACAAATCTAACTTGATGATAAATCTCCAAATTTCAACAAACTTGAATGATTTTGAAGCTTATAAGATGAAGATTTAGGAAATAACTCATTTTGCCGGTGCAGGTCTAATTTATGTTCAGGTTTTCACGCCGTGCACTCATTTTATTTAAAGACATTTACAAAAGGAGGTAGATTTGCTAAGTTGGGGTGGGGTGAGAGGCATTCTCACATTTTCTGTCTTAACTTATTTTCATAATTTATTTACACTGGCACCCATCAAGGCTGAGTTCTTGGTTCTTCTCAGCTTTGACAAATGTCTGCGCTCTCATCCAGCTCAGCTTTGAGTCATACTTCATTTACAGATGACAGAAACTGCACTAAGAGCAGCGATCCACTTTAGCCCTTCCTCGGTACAGGTCTTCTTTGGTCATATCTGTTGCAAATAAATCAATCAACAAAACTTTGTGTTTATCTCCACATGTGTAATAAATGCTAACGGTTAGCTGCTTGTTTCCTGCAGTGAGGAGAGTCCAGTGCCTCTGGAGAGACTCTCTCTGTCTGATCCGTCTGCAGCTGAGGACTCGCCTGTAAACACACCGGCTGATAGAAAGTGAGTATTTAAGGTTTGGCGGCTGTGGCTGAGTGGTTGGAGCAGTCGTCCTCCAATAAGAGAGTTGGGGGTTTGAATCCACCAGCAGTCACATGTCAAAGTGTCCCTGGGCAAGACACTGAACCCCAAAGTGCTTTGAGTATCTTGAAATAAGATAGAAAGGTGCTATACAAGTACAGTCCATTTACCATTTACAGACCAGAGCTGATCTGTACAACTGTGTTTGGTTTGCAACAGGATTTCCAAGGCTCTAAACGTCCCCAGAAGTTCTGTTAAATTCATTATGAAGAAATGGACGGTGGGGTTGCTCTTAACTTTAATAAAAAGATGCATCCTCGTCCATTTCTCCTGAAAAATGCAGCTTTCAACTCCCACTTTTCTTTTTTGCTCTCACCATGATTGACACTTGTCAGTCACCCAGTCAGGGGCGGAGCCAGAGGGGTGGTTGGGGTGGCACCCCTGGAACCTGATTGGACCCCCTCAGTTGATTGACAAGTCACTTCATGTGGCACTGAATTTTACATATTATAGTAAATGGACTGTACTTATTTAGCTCCTTTCTATCTGATCAAGATACTCAAAAGTCTTTACACTACAATCTGTGTCCTCAATTACCCATTCATACAGCTCTATACTAGATCTCTACGAAGATAATTAAACAAATCATTCTAAAGAGACTAATCAGTGCTTTATCACATTCATACACTGATGGGACACACATCAGAGGCTATGAGGGGTTCAGTGTCTTGCTCAGGGACACTTCGGCATGTGTCTGCTGGCAGATTTGAACCCCCAACTTTTGCATTGGAGGACGACTGCTCTAACCACTGAGCCACAGCTGCCCTTGCTGTACTGGTGGTTTTGAAAAAGTTGATGACAAAAAATAATATTTCGCACAGGCGCCACCATTTTGTAGTTTTCTTTCATTCAGCCTCCTCTGTACTGTTATCACCACTGAAAAGGACTACATTTCCCTTAAGTCAATGCTGTGCTGTATTGTGGTGCCTCTGGGCGCTGTTTTCTGCTGAACAGTATTTTTGCAAAGCGAAGTCATGACTGTTGAACAGACTATTCAAACGTAAAATTAAATTCATGTCACACGGAAACGTTTTTTTAAGAAAATTCAACTTTACAAACTTAAGATTCACAAAGTGTAAATCATGTGAGGACATGTCTCTTTAAGAAATGGAGCGTAGTGCCTCCATGCCACACGTTGATGCTGGAGCACAGGATGCTCTCCACTGCACACCTGTAGAAGGAGGTGAGGACTGAGCTTCCCAGACCAGCTCATCTCAGCCGTCTGAGGAAGTAGAGTCTCTGATGAGCTTTCTTCATCAGGCTGGTGGTGTTGTTGCTCCAGCTGAGGTTGTCATTCAGGTGTACACCCAAGTACTTGTAGCTGGAGACCACTTCCACCATGGGGGGTGGGGGGGTGGTTGTGTTTGTTCCTTATGAAGTCCACAATCATCTCCTTCGTCGTCTTCATATTGATATGAAGGTTGTTCTTCCTGAACCAGTTCTCCAGGTGTTCCACCTCCTGCCTGTAGCTGGACTCATCATTGTTTGTGATGCATCCCACCACCGCTGTATCATCTGCAAACTTTACAATGTGACAGCCTGGATGGGTAGCTGCACAATCATATGTGAGCAGAGTAAACAGGAGGGGGCTCAGCACACAGCCCTGAGGAGAGCCAGTGCTGAAGATTATGATGGAGGAGGTGAAGTTGTGGATCCTCACAGACTGTGGCCTGTTGGTTAAGAAATCCAGGACCCAGTTGCAAAGAGAGGGACTTGGTCCTAGTGTGGACAGTTTGTCCATCAGTGTCTGGGGATCATGGTGTTGAAAGCAGACAGTCCACAAAGAGCATATGGACGCAGGAGTCCTTCTGCTCCAGGTGGGTGAGAGCAGTGTGGAGCACACTGGAGATGGTGTCTTCTGTAGATTGATTCTTGCTGTATGCATACTGGTGAGGGTCCTCACTGATGTTGATGGTTGTTTTGATGTGGGTCATGACCAGTTTTTCAAAGCATTTAGCGACTAGCAGCGTGAGGGCTACTGGCCAATAGTCATTCAGACCAGTCACTGTAGAGCTCTTTGGGACTGGGATGATGGTGGTGGTCTTCAGACAGGTGGGAACTGTTGCCAGGGTGAGGGAGGATTTAAAGATGTCGGCCAGCACCTCACAGATCTGGTTGGCGCAGTCCTTCAGCACCCTCCCCAGGATGTTGTCTGGGCCAGTTGCTTTGTGAAGATTAATCATCTTGAAGGTCCTCCTTACTTCTGCTACTGTTGCAGTAGATCTTAAACAGAGCAGTTCCAGCGCACAAAGTATACAGTAGTCCCTGGTTTATCACGGGTGTTAGGTTCTACTCCCCCTTGCGATAAGTGAAAACCCACAAATTAGGGATAGTAGTTGTAGTTCAAGTAAACCCAACAGTTTTCAGTCAGGTCACCTGGACAGTTTCTTGTATTTTGTGCTGAAACGTTTCACCTTCCATCCAGAAGGCTTCATCAGTCAAACACACAACATAACTGGTTTGTTCCACTTTGGAGTAAGCTGTTGGGGGAAGAATCAGTTTTGTGTTGTGTGTTTCTTTGACTGATGAAGCCTTCTGGATGGAAGGTGAAATGTTTCAGCACCAAAAAAAGAAACTGTCCAGGTGACCTGACTGAAAACTGTTGGATTGTATACCTGGATTATTGAGCATGGACACCTTGACAGTAGGGGTTAAGGTGTTGGTGTGACTTGTCAAATCTTCATGTGTGTGTGTCTCATGTCACTCAGCCTTATAACCTGAACCCCTCACTCTCTGCTCTTTGAGTCGAGAGAGCTCCTCGGATGAGGAGCAAAACGTCTTCCGTTACCAATAAAGTCCAGTTGTTCTTGTATTGAACATCTTTTGAATTATTATGATTATTATTATTATTCAGTTGTTGCACAAATAATTAATTCTCGACTATTTTCAAAATTCATGTACACTTGGTGATATTTTAGAGACTGAGCTGCACTCAGCTTGAGCAGATGTTTTTTAACCTCCAACATTTTAACAACTAAAACTGTGAAACATGACAGATCGACAGAAACCTGTAAAAAGATTTAAACTCAAAACGGGAGCTGAAGACAGGAGACAGCCTCAGGACCGCTCCGGGTTTGTTACAGAACATTAGTGATAGAAGAGCATCATGAAGAGCAAGGACCCCACCAGATGGGCCTTTTCCAAGCCACTGTAGATAGACCTGCAGTGTTGCCTTGTGTAGCTCACTGTCTGCTCTGTCCTGACAGGGAGGAGCCGCCACGGAGTCCGGAGGTGTCCGTCAACGGGCCCGTGTGAGGGCGAGTGGACCCAGAACCCACGAGTGACGACGCCGTCGGCCTCCTCCCAGCAGTGTTTTAACTGAATCACTTTGCCACGTTATTGGACCCGGACACTGCCAGTCACCACCAATAACAAGGCGGCAGAACATGAAAAAACAAACAAGCAAACAAGAGTTCAAATAATCTCTAAAGCTTTTCCCCCAGATGTTGCACAGAACGACGTGCAGTTTTAATGTAGCAGCCATGTTTGAAACGACACACCATCTGTTATCTATTTTTTAATCTTTTCCTACACTCAGAGGGGTTTTACATGATCGCCCCCGGATGGATAGCACAGGCTCAACAGGAAGTACCCCAGCATCGTTTTTCTCCTTCCAGCTTCCAGAAGCAGCTGTTTCAGCACAACGTTCATCTCTCACGTCTCCTTTTTACTTCTTCAGCTGCTCGTTGGGAAACTCCTCCGCCGGCTGCGAACGTTTCCAGGGTCCGTTCAGGAGGCGAACACAGCTCTTAATAGTATTACTGTCTTTTGCTCATGTGCAATAATTTCATTCAGCCCTTTTATTTAATTATTTTTCTCTCTTTTTGTAAAGAATCAGTCCGGTGTACTTTTTGGGGCAAACAAATTTTGGGTGTAATCTCGAGCTGAAGTTTCCGATTCTTTTTCCTTGCATGTACATCAGGTTCTGTTGACCTAGCTCGTGAGCTGAGACCTTCTGATTGTAAAGTTCTTATTCCCCTTAAAGCAACCAAACATTATCTACCTATATACAAATATTATCTACGTTTTACAAGCAATGTTAAGATTATTTGTTGCCTGTTCCTTTTCTTTCTGCCAAGCACTTAGTCACAGTCAGAGCTCCCCCACGTTGGTTTGAAGCTTGGGTTTGTGTGAGCAGGAAGTCTGCAGAGCTCCGGGCCTCTGGTGTCGCGTCAATCATTTAAAGCCAATCAGGTTCTGTGATCATTGTTTCTGAAGAGGGTGAAATTAAACAAAACATCTGGTTTACCACATTTTTACCAAAGCTTTCCTTTGCCTGTCTGATTTTTGTCTCGGCATTTTTTTTCTCTGTGAACAAAGTTAAGGTCAAAGGTCTTTATTTGTGGAACGAAATTGTACACAGGGGTCCCAGTGGATGTAACTGGGTCCCAGTTACATTTGTTGGATGTAACTGGGTCCCAGTTACATCCAACAAAAGTATAAATTGTAAAGAAGAACAGTCATAAGATGTAAGGTATGAACTAAGAAGAACATCAACTAAACACCAAATACAAAAACAATCTGCTGAACAACACGCTGGTGATTTGGTGAAGTTTAAAGACTTGTGTTTTATTTCTATAACTCATCAGTTTTTTGTTTTTACACCTTGTTTATAGTAAAAAACCTGAAATGTTTAAAAAATGACAAGTTTCATGAAATATTCCTGAAGTTTTGTAGTAATCACTGTCAACAGGTGTTTTCTGCTTCACTGATACTTCTGCACATGTCCTCTGGTGTTCTGGTCCACGTGTCCTCTGGTGTTCTGGTCCACATGTCCTCTGGTGTTCTGGTCCAC